GTTTTTGCTTTTATATATGCTTTTTTTCTGAAATAAAAAAGAAATCAAATAATTTCCTTTGTTTTTTTTTTACACTTTTTCCCACTATTCAGTTCTTTTTTAATTTTTCAGGAAAAAAAATCATTGAATGCACTTCTGCACAATGCGTAGCAACTGGCAAAAATCACAAAAAAACAAAGGCTGGTCAAAAAACAAGTAGAGCAACTAGCTTATCTGCTAGGAAAGGTAGAATAAACGCTGGAACGCTTAACACAAGTGACAAAGACGACCTGGCAAAGAAGGCTGCAGAGGGAGAGGTTGAAATAGGCGAGGCAATTGGCAACATGACCGAGGTGAGCAATGTCAGGAAGGCTGATTAAAGAGCAATCCCAGGAAGTGAAGTATTCTGAAATGAGAACAGAAATTAGTGCACCAAAATATAACAAGAAATTAAAGAAAAAATAACTAAGCCAGACACAAAATGACAAAAGAGAAAGACAGAAACTAATCATCAGAACTGCATGTAAACAATAGTTAAAAGTTATAAAATTAAGCCTAGATGATTTCAAATTGATCATTTTGCAGAAATGCCTCTTTATCACTTAACATGCAGACAGGAGGTGGCAAAGGCAAGACCCCTTTCAGAGAAACTTTCAGTACAACATAAATAAATCATACCCAATATCAATGGCAGCGACAACTAACAAGTAAAAAGACTTAGCCAAAGAGAGAAACAGTGAACCAGAGGTTCTTAGATCTGACATAGATAACTACAGTACAAAGGTCCACTTACTATAGGAAAAGAAAATAATTAAAAGAAGTAATGAGGATGATTGAGAATGGCTCATATAAGGATGGAGAAACTGTGCCAAATGCAAGAGAAAAAACCCCAAAACAAAGTTGATTATAGCAGTTATGTAATATTTTGTGTGATGATCAATGAAATTTAAAATTCAAAATATATATAATTCTTGTAATTAGTGTAATGTAACACAGATTTAAAATTTCATATTTCTCAAACAAAATTTCATAATTTCTAGTTTTAATTTTGCAGTTCAGTGAAATTAGTGAATAAGTGCATAATATATGCTTAAAACAGGATCCAGTGAGAGTTTCTTTGCTGTGGGATGATGTTTTAAAGATAAACGTATGAAATGTTTTGAATTATAGGAACTCACATACTTTTCCTTTCAATTTGGATACCAGCAACGGCTCATTGTAGAAGTACTTTACCTCATAAATTCAAATAATGACATGTAATGACAATGCAACAGTCTACAAAGTTAGTTTTCAGTGAACTATATTTTTTTTTTTTATAGTTTTCAGTACACAAGGCAAAGGCACATAAAACATTCTTGAAGCATTTGATTGCTTTTGATGTGTTGTTATAACTGAAATAATAGCAGCTAAGTTAAGATGAATGTTTTATGCTTGAGAGATACCCTTCAGTCAGACTACTTTACACTTTAAAAAAATAAAAATATAGCGGTGATATAAAGCCCTGAGCGTAAATAAAAGCACATGCACATAAGATTTGATTTCATGGACACTTTGACTTAATTACGAGTAATGATTGGGGGAATGCAATTTCTACTTATAAGTGGCTATTAATTAAGTTTGTAAAGGACTGTATAAGAAAATGGAATGAACTCCCCAAAGGTCCTACATCATTCATACAGATCCTGGAGCTAAAATGGTTTTACAGTTAATAATAGACCAGTTTTCACATGATACATCTCCTGCTGTAAGGATTATCTCCTGCTATAAAATGATATCACCTAGCTGACAGAAATATTGCCCACCTACTACAACGTAATCACTTCATGGATAAGAAATCAAACTGGAGGGGAGGAATGGATTTTGAGCTGTGTGTTTCACATAAACACATGGTTTTACGTGTGCGTGTTGAATCCATTTGTGTGTGCGAGCGGCTGTGTGTGATCTCTCGCTGTGACTCGCTGATCAGTTATCACTAATCCCTCCACTCAGAGCTCTTTAACAAGTTGCTATTGTGCTGCCGACACTTTACATGATGGAGGAACGACCTTCGTGGTGAATGAAAAGAAGAGGCAGAGGGAAGGAGGGAGAGATGCTGACGGAGGGAGCGAGAGAGGGCAGCACCTCCGACAATGGAGAGAAAATTGGTTTACACTAGATAGGCTTGTGATTACAGAGGGAAAGAAAATGACTTGGATTGAACAATGGGGCTGAGTGTGTGTCTTGATGTGGGTTTGTATGTGAATGTGCATGTTTGGAGGATTAGTGGGTGGTTAGGCTGGATTTGGTCAAAATGAATTGCTCGGCTGATGTATGTGTGTGTGTGTTTGGATGTTATTTCTGTGTATTTCTCCATACAGTGTGTCGTTTGTGTTGTGACTCCGTCTTACCAGGAACGCCAGAGTCTATTACAACCTTGTAAACCCACGAATCTCTAACAGTTTATTCTATCCCTTCATCACTTTTAACACAGCTTGGGAGCTCCAGTTTTATTAGCACCTTGTGGTGTTGACATGCTGTATTTATGAAGTCGCTGATGTCTGGTAGGAAAACAAAATCGTCAAACAACCCAAAAATGAGCTATCAGAGGAAAACACGAACATTTCATAGAATATCCGGCCTATTCCTGCATAATGTTCTCTTCTTTCCCATTTAAAGAAGTATTTTAGGAGAAATAGACCTGTGACAGGATATCTATGCTAAGGGAACAGAGTGGTCATGAATTATTAATTAAAAGCTTCAAGAGACTCTTGTCCTACAAAAGTGAAGTGGACCTGGAAAAAACGGTTCACTGTTACATTCATTATATGGGAGTAATCAGGGGGCTGAACAATTGTTGCAACAGTGATCTCACTAAAACGTATTTTTCTTTGAATTAGCTTTTCTTCTCTACAGAATAAATGTACAAATATTTTACAGATTATTTTAGAGCTGTAATCATATTTGCAAGGATGTGGAGTTATGCCAATTATCTGGAAAGATCCTCAGTCTGTGTAGACACTCAGCATGTTTTCTTTGCTTTATCCTGACTACAGATTTGAGCTGATATAGATTTTTGTAATGTAAAACTAAAAACACACAAGAACAGTCATGAGTTGCTCATATGAAGAGACTGAGATACTCCCAACCGTGTGTGTGAAAGCAGTCATTGAAAAAAAAAGCAGTTGTTGCACGGTTGCTGGTTTTAACCTTTCTTTAACACCATTAATTAAAGATCAGCACTTGTAACTGTTAAACCGTCTCGGTGGGCATTTAGTCAAGAAGCTCCTTACTGTACCTTATTTATAAATTTCAACATGTTCTATGATAGAGAGGTGGACCCCTTGAGGTGTGAAACTGACAATATTTTGCTCTTCATGAAGCCTTTCTGTATTTGCTGAAGGTCTTGCTCTCTGTCACTGTTTTGTAGCTTCATAACCACAGAGAATTTAGTCAGCATGCCGTAGAAACTAAATTTGAGTCTGTTTCCCGAGAAAGATTTGGCGCTCACTGGCCAATAATAACAACCAAAAATAAACCATTCTGCAAATTTCATTTCTCTTTCTCATTAGACATACTAGGGCTGGTCACGTAATTGCATTTGCAACTTTTTTGCAATTTCGCAAACCCAATGTTCAAATTGCAGACACTTAATTTTATTCACATTAGATTAAACAACATTAAAATGATAAATATCTCACTCCAGCCCTTTAGGTGGCGGTAATACACTTAAAGTGGTTTGCAGCTATCACCACAGATCTCTATTCATTCACTGGATTGCTGATCGCCCTTTGGTAGTACGGGGTGTAAGTGAAGCCACCGGCCGCCGTATTGGTACTCCCTAGTTACTGTAGGCTGGTCGTAATGGAAACAATATGTGAGCTACAGCATCAGACAAAGATGATGTTCTCATTTTCATGGAGACTTGAGACTTTTAAAATAAAAATAAATTCCTCAAGTTGACACACACTGGCTGTTTCACAGCATAAGTAGATTACTCTAACCTATACAGTATTAAAAAAAAATAGGCACATCAGATTGCATAGTCATTATGAAGTCAATGAAGTCTATAAATCATGTCATAAAGCACATTATACAAATCCATCAGAGTAAAATGAATTTGTTAATTTAGCATAACAATGCTGAAGTGCATAAAGTGCTAAATTTATAATGTATTATTGTTGTTATAACATGTTACATATAATTTCAAAATTTTACATCAAGACTGAATTATACGTATATGTCTGTTAATGCTATAGTATTTTCTTGTTTGCAAATTGTGTATAAATGATGGAATATACTTTTATACTCATTATTATACGCATTAGCCTTTAAAAACGTTTGAGTTGCTTTATTTTTCCCTCAACACAACATGCAATATATTACAGCACAACTTTTTCAAATGAGAAATACAATAAACACTACAAAAACAACAGTCATCCACTTAATAAAGAATTACTATATTGACATTTCACAGTGAATTACTTTTTCTTTACTCTGCTTTCTATTTTCTAATGTTAGACACAATGTCAATGGCCAACTCAGTCAATGTCTTCAAGTCCGAGATAGCCAGACTGTTACGCTACAAACTAACTGTAGGACACATTGGCGTTTATATGGCTTTCCTTTGTTAGTACATCCACTGACTCTAAATTATATTGCATACATTACATTACAAATTACAGCCAGCAAAATGCTTGTTTTTGCAGTCAAATGCTACACAAGTAGGCATTTTTATTACGCATCTCCATGGGAGCGGGGAGAACTAACATGCCGGACGGTGGCTTCACTTTTTTTCAGGCAATCAGCAATCCAGTGAATAAATAGAGATCAGTGACTATCACGCAGATCCGTGCTGGACAATAGAATAACTTTTTCACTTTTTCATTTCGCTGGACAATCATGTAAAAAAACTAAAACCCTGGCATGAAACGTCTCAGTGCTTGTGGTTAGTGCAAAGAAAAATCGCAGTGAAATCGCAATAGTAATATTGGTTGAAAAGACTTTTCGTTTTTGATTTGTATTATTTTTTTCTATCTTGTTAGGAGGCTCAGCAAGAAAGCTACAACATTAGAGGACCTGTTCAAGGGAACTCTGGAAAGACCAACAATGAGGACGGAGTTCCTCAGGACCGCCCTTCCAGTCTGCCGGTGAGTTTTCTGCCATGCGCAACCTAAAATGTACAAAAAAAACTTTCAAATGATACAAATACGTTTTGAATTATAAAAATAGAAAAAGAACATATTTTTTCCCTTACACAATATGTAATATATTTCTATCTGACTCTGCAATGTTTTGTTGGCTTTAAGCTCTTTCATTTAATCAGAATCCTCTGCTCACCCTCTGACCCGCTTCTTTGTCTGACATCTCTAAGGATTTGACTGCTCATTTCAGGGTTCTACGTCTGTGTTTTGACTGGTGTTCATGCCAAAGGCAGAAAGGCCACTTTTACAACACCATACATCCACTCTAATGCAGACGCACACACCCACATGCACAGACAAGCATATGCACCAGCCGAAGACATTCCTTCTGAGCACACTTGAACCCACATGCGCCAACCTCTCAGTGTTTGGCTGAGTTTTTAAAAAATCCTGGAGCAGCTTGACTGGAGGAGTAATTGTGTGACCAGCTTGATCTGTATGAGGGTTTTCTCTGGCTTTTTTTGGCTTCACTAATTGCTTTTTTACGCCATAATTTGTCTCCCAACAAATAGACATTTCCAAATGGTCGCAAATATTGGCACTGCTTGAGGTGCGTGCAGTTTAATTTACCAGACACTTCGGAGAAGCCCCAGGAGTAAGAATAAACTGCAAGAAAAAAACGAAATTAAGTGTGCGAACTCCAATTAGGCTGTGAAATTCCCCTCATACTGGTTCTTCTAAAGTCTGTGCACGCCGGTCATCTCACCATACATTGATGGTTGACTTTTCTTTGTTTCTAATCAGTGTCGACTTATCTGTCATTTGTCAAGGGATTCCACAGTAGCAGTAAGACACACTTGCTTCTTTTTTTTTCTTTCTGACGTGCTAATAGTGTATCATCTGGCTTCATCTTGGTTTTTCTCCTTTTTTCTTTCATTCTATATCTCCCACACTCTTTACCCTCTCTCCCACCCCACGTCTCCCCCTCCAAAGCAACGCCATGAAAGCTCTTTCGCCTTCTCATGCTATAATGAGAAATGGCCTTGATATATCAATGTGTGAATCCGGAGCGAGAGAGAACAAGAACGAGGCGAGGAGCCACTGCAGTCGCGACGGCCGATCTATTTGAACCGGTGCCACTATCACCCCGTTATTCCCTCACCGCTTTAATCCTGGCATTCTAGCCCTTTGGGTTCTCTGTGTGTTTTCACGTCTCATCCCGAAGCGTGTGGCTCGCAAAGATCCTAATCGGCAGCAAGTTTTGATGAGAGACACACAGAGATGTGGGGGGGTGGGTGTTAGGATAGATAGACGGGGATGGAGAGCAGGAGGGAGAAATTGCTCGGCATTTTGTGAGGCTCTTCTAGCAAGCTGTCACAGAGGAGATGTAACCTTTTTTTCTCCCTCTCTCTCTCTCCCTTTCTCACTGTTTCGTCGGCGTTTGATGTCAGATCTAAAGCTGCTGTCATCCTTTCTCCCCTCCTCCCTCTCTCTCTCCCTCTGCCAGGAGCAAGGGAGAGCGGGTCGGCGAAGTGTCATGTTTTGGTTTTTGGATGAGTCTGCTCTGTGATCAGGCGGGAATTTTTGAAGATCGACCAAAGAGTCAATCATGTCTCTCATGCCTTTCAAAACATAATGTTTACATTACTGTGTAATTATGATTTGGCATAATTCTGATTTAAAATAAGTTAATTTAGTATACTGATCACATTAAAGAGCATATATCATCATAGGAATATCATAGCTATTTTACCCTTTTGATTAGGCCCCTCAAAGAAGGCTGTTGAGCAATGATGTTACAGTTGGAATAGTGAACTAGCGAATCGAGGTGTAAATGCTATGCCCATCTAAGACAAAAGCACCAAATAAGGTGCTTATTTGGTTTGGATCTGAGTACATAAAATCAATAAATGGATTTATTCAGGAAAACAAGGATGTTGGTAAAGATGCTGTCTGACTGCAGCATGCAGACCTAACTCACGATGAGTTAACAGCGCGTGGTAAACTCAGTCTGTCTATAATTCATCACCATGGTGATGACCCGTATATGACAAACTGATTCAGAGAGGTGTTGTGCAGAGGAGTAGGTTTGGGTCTGGCTATGAATTGCTTAAGTTAATCAGTATCAAAATCAGCGTTTAAAACCAGGAAGGGTTACCAAGTCAGAGGACCACATGATAGCCAGAACAATTTCTATGTTAATAGCTTTTATTCTTCCTTTTTTATAACTTGTGTTTTAAACTTTGTGTTATTACTAAATATGGGATTTGTGCACTGGTTTTCTTAAACAGCTAACCCTACATTGATTAACAAAATAAACTCAAACATCCTTTCAAACAACAGGCCTTTAATAGCAAAGTACTTTAAGTTCCAATTCAGATGTTTTAAGGGTCACTAGGTTGGTGACATTCACTAAACTAATTTGTTGATGTAATTAGGGATGTCTTTTCTAAGAGAATCTATCATGCAAATTTTTTTTTGGAGCTCATGCAGTCAAGTTTAGGCAGTTTTTCTTATTTTTGTCCATGTTTACAGGCAACAGACGCACAAATAGCAGATTTTGCTTCACTTTTGACCCAATTTTTCTTAGTAAATTTTACCAGTCTGATGACATCAACACATTTCTGCTCATGTCTTGGCGAGCTCAAATGGGAAAAAAAGAGTGATTAACACTAATTTATGATAATTTGGTAAAACTCTTTCTTCCCTAGATCTAATTTAACATTGTTAAATGTTGTGCATTCTGGAATTCATTGTTTTTATTGGGCTATTTGGTTCCTTGTTTATAGTTTGGTCCTGGCTTTTTACGGGGCGGTATCAGAATATTTCATGTTTTCTCACCATGTCTTATTTTTTTCATAAAAGCATTGATGAATGAGGTCACAGGCTGTTACTGTTGGTGGTTAGTTTACACACAGCAAGACATTGTTTGGTCCTTAAAGTCAATTGAAGCTAATGTTACACATCAAGCACCATGTGGACTTTGATATTATCCGCAACATTTGGCTTGAACTCAATGGAAAAAATGTAAATCTGCAGACTTTTCCCCTGTATGTAAATAAACATACAGGAGAAATGTCTAGATAGCAGTAAAACCATGACGACAGAAGTTATTTTGAGTTATAAACAAAATTCCAGTTCAGAGAAAATACTTTTCCTTTTTTTACAGTAACCTATAGCCACTATGAAAGTTTCCCCAATGGCTCCGTCTTCAAGCTATTTGTTCTAGCTATGGCTTCAACTTCGGTCAGTCCGCATGTCTCCCATTTAGGTTGCAGTCTCCCATAAATCAAACACCATAATTGGTGAATAATTGCTTGGACAAAAGTGCTGTTGATATTGATTTTGAGGGTGAAAATAAAGACCCAGCACTTCCCTGTGTTTTCTTTTTTATTTTGTGCTCATTATATAGTTTTTCAGTGTTGCAGTAGGCAGTAACACATAACTTCAATGCATTGTTTACAGTCATAGAGAATAAAAGTTTTTGAAATGGTGTGATTGCATCCTCATTTTATAAAATATTTCCAGTTTTAGAGGGCATGAATCAAAAGAAACTTTTAGCATCAGAAAAGTTTGATAGAACTTTTCTACTCTGAAAATAATGTATATGCCAATATTGTTTTTAAGATTTATTCTTTCAATATTATTTGGTAGACTTAGACTTAGAGAAACTTTATTCTCATTGTGTATACACAGAGTATAAACATAACAAAAATTTAGGTGCATATAGCTTTTCAACAGTAAATGAGCAACTTAGCAATGAAATGAACATTTCCATGTATAAAGTGCAGCATTGATCAGTGTAGATAAACAGGAAAACCAGTTCAAAAACATGGTTCAAAAGGCATTAATATGGAAGGTGCAGAGCAGTGCAAAATAAATAAATAAATATGGAGCAAAATGCAGTAGAACTCTGAGTTGAGTTTTATTTCAACTATGGTATTAGGTTTGCAAATACCAACTAAAATGTACACACGATGCCCATGTTAGATAACTGGTCTGCTTGTTAAATAACTGACTTTATGTATTTGTTTTCTATGTAAGCTGCTTTATATGGGAGGAAATCTATTAAATCTGTTATTTGGAAATGCGTTTTCCGGTTTAAAATAGATTATTCTGCCGTCAGCTTGAACGTAGAAATATAGAGCTACCCCGACTTGGTTTTGCTGATATAGATTGTATTTGATTGGCCCACGTGGGTCACATATGAAGCCCATATTAGCTCTATATTCAGCTTCATGCCTATAAACATGATTGATTCTGATGATGTCTCTGGTCTTTCTGAATGGGTTCATTTACACCAGCAGAGGTGTGTAATTAGGTGGGTGTCCAAAAAAAGCCTGACTTTAAATAGAGAAATGTTTAAAACTTTGCTATTAAATCTCATGTATTCCCTTGCTCTACTGGTAACCCGTTGCCAGCACTTTTGCTTTGATTTTATATGGAAATCATTACAAATTTGATTTTGTTTCCCCAGTCAAAGGTCATAACTTTAGTAAGAGTCTTATTTGATTGCTTTTCTTTTCATGCCATTCATCAGAAATCACTACTTAAATTGCACAGGGACTTGCTGGAATCATGCTTTTCTCGGCTGAGTGGTGCCATTCTCGAAATTGCTCTGATTCCCCAGGATGTGTGCAATTGTGGGTCAATAACGGTAACATGTTGGTTTGCTGGCATTATGTCGGTGCAAGAGCTTGTGATTGGCACCGGGTGCCCCGTCGTCTACTGCCTTGTTATTTCCAGCTGTGTTTGGGACTGATTATTTGTATGTGGGTGAAAGATCCAAGCTCCTTTTCTCTGCACATTCCTTTTATACATTGACTTAAATAGACAGTGAGGTTCTACTGATAGGTTATTAGCATGTAATATTTTACCTCAAGCTGGATTCATTTATCGACCAGTTGCAACTTTGAAAAAAAAAAAACAACTCAAAATTAGATAGTGGTAATATAATGTACATTTACTACCTAATGTTCTCAACCATGTCTTGTTGTTAGTTATTATATTATGCTACTGTCTCCATGATTATTAATTTAAGTACAACAATAGGCAGGTTAAGGACCAATAAAACTTCCAAAAAAATTTTCTTCCCCATTTTTGTAAACAAAAATAAAGGTGTAATGTTATTTAATTTTTTTTTAATAAACAGTTACAAAATATGTAAGATCGAATATCTAACTTAATGCACTTTCATTTATTTACAACCTACAAAATGAAGTCAATACATTTGGTGGGAAAATAACATAAAAAAAATGCTTAATGTTCAGTGTGAAATTATTGCTTACTTATCCAAAGTTTCAAAACGATTAAGGCGAATTTAAAGCATTTAAGGTTTTTTCAAAGCTGTGCAGCTCTCAGTTTAACTTGGTCTTGATTAATATAATCCTAAACTATCCCTTTAAGATTCTGGGCTGAACTGCTTCTTCCTCTGCTTCAGCGAGGTGATGACACAGGGTTTCAGAACCCCCCACCTCTACCCCAGTGCTCCGTCTCACTCCTGTTCCAGTCACTGTATGTTCCCAGCTCTCCTGCGCTCCCCTGACAGCCTGCCAAGCTGCTGCACAGCCTCCCATCCTCTGGGACATGGGAGAGGATGGCCAGCCATGTGGAAAGACAGAGTGAGAGCTGGGGGTGGGAGAGCGAGGTGAGGAAGCAGGGAGCGGAGGCGAGGGGGGGGGGGGGGGGGGCGTGAAGCGTTGAAGTGAAACGTGGTTATCTTTGTCACTTGTTCAGGGTGAGAGATGCTGAATTCAGACTGTGGGGTTTCAGCAGTGCACATGCACACATGCACACGCAAACAGTGACAAGACTTTCTTGTATGTCTTTCAGAGCCTCTTTGCCCCTCCTTGACTTATTTTCCATCAGACAAAAGGAATAAATTCAGAAACATAATCTGTGCCTCTTCTTTCACACCTCTCCACCTTCGACTCCTCTGTTTTTCCTGAGTGTGAGGTCATAAAAGATTGACAGGGCACAGCTGGAGAGGCCTGCTGCCCTCCCCTGTCTTTCACTACTACCACACACTCACACAGAGCCATCTTAGTGGCCATTCAGCCTGCACTTTGATGCACATTCTGTCCTCTGTGAGCGCTTTCACACATTGTGTGTGTTTGTGTGCTCTGTCAGAGCATGTCAGTCAGCCTGCCTATACAGTATGTGCTTGCCCTTGCCTCTTCCCACTGCTGAGTTTTATTTTAGAGTCCCCAGGCTGGCAGACATGGCCAGCAGGCAGCGCAGAATAATGTCATCCAACACGGTTAGATTCAGCCACATTAGAGCTTGCAGAAAAGCTAAGAAATGTAAAAAAAAAATGCAAATATTTTGTGTTTACTTATGTTTGCATGCAAGTATGTCCGCCTATTATATAGATATATATAAACAGCTGTAATTGCATGTTATGAAAGAGAAGCTAACTCAAAGATGGGTCTTTTCTCAATGCCTATTCTTAGAACTGAGAGCATACACTAAAGAAGACAACATGTTCCTGCTCCTGCTGCCATAGCAGCTCTGAGAATACAGTAGGACCGGTGAACTGCAGCCAGTAGACCATATATTGAATACTAATATATGAATTACCGTCACTTTATAATGGTAGAAGTAACTGATAGAAACCAAGAGAGAAGACAACCTCCCTTCAGACAATTTCAGCTTTTTTTAAAATTTATCATATTTCTTGAATTGTTTTATGTTTTTCAACTAAAAATGGATCACTTTGAGATTCTCTAAGTGCAAAATAAATGTAAAAGCATAAAATGTGTAATATGGTTTAAAAAATTTGGGTTTAAAACAGAAAATACTGTTCTAAACCATTTAGTAGCTATGGTGTTAGTTGTAGGTAATGCTCTTTAATTTTCTCATTAGTGTTAATGTTCATTATGAATGGTTAACTACCTTAACCTGAACAATAATACTGTTTGATAATTATGCTTCTTTAAAGCACAGCTTTAAAAAGGTAGACTCTATTAAACATGCAATGATTCATTTGAGATAAATTGCTAAAATCTCTCCAGCCCTGAAGACCGTCTCCTGACTTCAAATTGATTCACTTCTATTAAGTATACCAAAAAAATAAAACTATTTAGAGAAAAAAAGGATGAAAACCAATTGTTCAGATTTCAAAATATATAGGATCTGTATGTAGATAAATGGAAGACGTTTTCACAGTAAAGTACGACTGCTCACATCTGTGTTCTCACCTCCTCCCTGGTTCACCGCAGACTCACATTTCATGACACAGCAAATCAGAGGTCTGTGTCTTCATGTATAATGCAGACGGGTTATTTTACAGCTTGTGTGTCAGGTCTGTTTTCATGTGCTTCTTATGAATCATTTACCGCCTGCATAAAGTTTCATGTAGTGTGTTGTTTTTCTAGGCAGCTGAAAGATGTTTATATTTTTTTGCCAAGGCTCAATATGTCTTTCCCTAGGGCCCAAACACACAGAGGAACAGGTAGTGGGATCGATTTGTAGGGAGAAAATATTTCATCTTTAAATGACACCACACTGAGTTTTAAGGCTTTCTTGGAAAATGTGTATTTTACTGGTTAGAATAAGAAAGGAAAAAGTGTAGAATATTTTATTCCCATGATCCAAACTCATTTCTTCCTTCCTTAGTTAATTTAAAGATCTTGTACAACTATAAATACTAGGTTAAGGTTAATAGAATACTCATAGTGTTTAATGCAGACAATAGTATGTGACTCCTGTAAAAAGGAAATTATATAATTAAAGAATCAAATATATGCAGAAGATGCTTAGAAGTGCTTAAATTCAATGTATAACATGGAAGCATAAATAACCTAATTTTATTTCAGTGTTACATTCTGTTGAAAGTAACGGATTATAATTTAAAATGTCTCCGGACCTTTCTTTATTCGGATCCTGCTGATTTTTAATTGGTTACCCCTGGTTTAGGGTATCTGTCTGTGTTAATAAAAAAAAAATGAATACATGTATGTTAGTTTGCTCCTTTTCTATAAAGATGGAATGTGTATAATTTATTTGGCTATAAAGTGGCATATGAAATAATTAAATAAAAGATGTTTTTTTTCCATTTACAGTAATAACCATTTGAGCTGCCAATATGTCCTTTAACAGGACGCTGACTCCCTACCTGCACTCTTCAGCAGCTGACACTCTACCCTCATCCCCTGCTGAAGAGAAAGATTTTTTTTTATTTTAATAGGAATATTTTTTTCTTTCGCCTGCAGGAGTTTTAGTTGGCAAAATGCGATGGCTACATGCTGTTCTACCCGCCAGGAACTACGCTGACCAATGTTGGTTGTTAAAGCAAACTGGTAACACAAGGCTGAGCAGCAGAGGTTACAAAGATGTGGGAGGGAGGGAGAAACTGTTCAGCTGCAGAGCTCACCATAGTAATATTCAACCACCCTTGACAGACTGAAGCCCAACACAGCAAAACTAAAGTGCAAACTGTAAACCCATGTGCTTCTTTAAGTAGTGTTTTTACACACCTCCTCATTCTCACACAGGCGCGCAGTCCAGTTATATCAGGGAATGATTTCAGAGCAAGTAGAAAATGGAGAAGAATGAACTTGGTTAAGAAAACAGCGAAGTGGCTCCACCGACGCCTCTCCACCGAGCTCTCCTACGTAGCAGGAGGCACATTAAGGGAGATAAGGAGGGAGGATGAGGAAGGCAAGACAGACCCTACAAGGACAGAAATGTTCCCTCTTTTTGGCCATCAGCTCCCATTCTGAAGCTCTTGTGTTTTCTCAGAAGCCTATTTGGAAGACTGGTTCAAATTAAGGACAAAAGATAGAAGCAGCTGTAGCTCCTTGGTGTTGGATCCCATCAAGACAAATAAACAGAATTACAGTGATGGGCCATATGAGCAGGGCTTTGTGTAGTTTTTGTAAATGAAAATGACTGGCAGTCCTATGCCGTCTGGAATTGCATTTAAGTGTTATATAAGTCTGTGTAAGTATGGAAAATGAAAATAATGGTTAGGAAAAAACCTCCACGTTCAAAATAAGTGATTGTTACTCAGTTTTTGTTTGATAGCCTTGTTTAGAAAATATGAGATTCTTTCACTGGAAATCAGTTCTTTCTCCGTCAGAAGAACTTTAAATTCCATTAAAATTCCTAAAACATGTTTATGTCTGTGTGTGTAAATCCAAGCACTGTTTTTGAAATAAAAGAAAATACTTCTTTTAATTTGGATATTTCAGTTTTCCATTCAGTGTATTCAGCAAGACAATAGTGTTAAGTCGCTATTATAGATTAAAGATAAGAGCCAAAAATAAAAAAAAATGTTTTGTTTCTTTTCTCATCATTAATTTCTGTATTGTGTCTTGAATTAAAAGTCATCCTTATTTCCTGGTTTGTTGTGTAGAGCTGAATCCCAGCTGAGAGGCGATGGAGCATTAGAGTCAGCTCAGGAATAGGATGGAGGGGACGGTCGGCCTTCACTATGTCTCCCTCTGTCTGATTGGAGGCTGAAATTACATCTGACTTTGAAGTTAAGAGGGGCAGCATCACTGCTGTTGCTATGGTGACGGGATGTATATATGTGTGTGCGTGGAAACTCTTTGGGAGGTTTATTATGCATGATCCACACTGTGACTAGTCCTGATGGCGTTACAGCGGCGTCTTTAATCTACCCTCATAAGATACGTGCACTTTAAACATCCCAGTGCATCCACAGCCCTGACTGTGAGCTTGTACCAATAGAAAAGCACACACAAAACTCGTTTCACAGCTGGACTCAAGATTCATGTTGGAACTTTAAAAGATTTAGATAAATCTTTTATTCCTCTTATCTTTAAAAAGGTTTAGTTAGCTTTACATCATGCTTGCAGGCAAATGCAAGCACAAACACAAAAAACACTCAGGCGCAGGCATGATCATGCAGAGTTGTTTAGATTGCAGATAGCAGCGTTTGTGTTGTTTAAGCTGCTAATAATCCACTGAATTCAAATTTTCTTTTAAGTTCTTTTTAAAACCATGAAGATGGGTGGATGGAAAGATAGATGTAGCAGAGAGGGATAAAAAGTGTGAGTATAATGTTCCATTAATGCAGAGGCAGGCTCTTGCTGAGGGCCTAGCACCAATCTGCATCTCCCACAGCCAGGCTGCTATACATTTTTCATGAACACTGAGCGAGAATTAGCGACGGATTGCTGCTGCAAATTGCTTCTCCTTGGTTGGGGGGTTTAGAGAGAAGGAAGGAAAAAAGGTACAGAGAGAAGGGCAATAAGAAAGGCTGACACGATGCAGAGGTGGAAGACGGTCTTAGAGATAATTGTAAGAGATGTGGAGAATAAATGAGAGAGAAGTGGAGAGAGTGTATTGTAATCTTTCAGAGGCATCTTACCCTAATATGATATCAGTTTATGTAAATTCAGCACGATGTTTGAATACCCAACAACTGCACTTAGTAAGCCGATTTCCCCCGCCAGAACAATGCGCTTATGATAACATCATATTTTTGTTAGTCTCTCCAGCCCACTGTTGCTTCCTCTTGACCAGAGCAACTTTTAGTTTTGACCCCAATCACAGTCTGTACCTTTCACTCCCACGTGGCCCTCTTTTATTTCGAACTGATCGGCCTTTACAGATTGAATTTTGGAGTAGGAAGACATGAAGGTCTCTTTAGAGGTAGAGTATAACCTGAAAAACAATCACTTCCACATTAATAAAGAACCACGTAAAAATGTATCAGTAATGTCAACATCTGACAGGCCACTCAAGGAAGCCATCGACTTAGAAGCCTAGAGAACCATAGTAACTTTGGAGGAACTGCAGCCATCCATGACTCAGGAGGGAAAGGATACTATTTACCCTTATGTACAGTAGCAGTCATTCAAAATGGCCCTTCCCAGTCAAAC